GTTGGAAAAAAGACAAGTATTTTGATAGCTTTTTCAAATAATTGTGAATATTTTCCTTTAACGCTACACCAAAACTTAACAAGCAGTTGTTTCTCTAAGGTTGGTTATAATGTAGAATCTGAAACCATATCAATGAGCATTTCATGCTTTGTTATATTAAAATGAACAGGCCTATCTTGTGCTTTTTTTTTTTTTTTTTTTTTTGAGACAAGAGTCTCACTCTGCTGCCCAGGCTGGAGTGCAGTGGCGTCACATCAGCTCACTGCAACCTCCACCTCCCGGGTTCAAGCAAGTCTCCCACCTAAGCCTCCCAAGTAGCTGGGATTTCAGGCATGTGCCGCCATGCCTGGCTAATATTTGTATTTTTAGTAGAGACAGGGTTTCACCGTGTTGGCCAGGCTGGTCTCAAACTCCTGACCTCAAATGATCTGCCTGCCTCGGCCTCTCAAGGTGCTGGGATTATAGGCGTGAGCCACCGCACCCAGCCTATCTTGTACTGTGAATGACTGTTTTACTCACATGGGATTTGAAGCATCATGGGGTCATTTTGAAATTCTGTGCCCATTAAATCACATACATCTTCCAAAAGATGACCTATCACCAAACAGTGTCAAAAAATAGCATTTGTTAGCACCATCATCCATTGCATCAGAAAAATCTTTACTGACAAGTTGTCAAGCTTGTGGTGGTATACACAAATTTTCCAAAATTCCAGTTTTCCCTGGAAAGCTCCAAGCTCCCACTGTATCATTGGCAACAAATGCTTCCATTTCTTGAAGGGACAGGCTCACTTTGCTCATTTATGAGAAAATGTCTGTCTGCCAAATGCCCAGATCTGAATACCCATCCTGTGTCTGTTCGTTGTTCTTTCCCATATAAACGGTGTTCCCTAAACCAGAGGCTCATGTGGTTCCAACTCTGACAAGCTTGCTCCGCTCATGGCCGACCTGCTCAGGGGCGGGTGCTCTGTGTGCAAGCCTGCACATCACACAAGAGGTGAAAGGGTGTGTACTTAATGACACAGGTGTGTTTTGTCCCTGCAGATGCTTATCTATGGGGGCACAGGGAGACCTGCCCAGTGCAGCGTTGCTGCCTTGCTTCCTGAAGTCCCAGCGAACCTGCAAGAACAGGTCAAACAGGCCATGTGATCTCTTGATCTGAACTGTTGGCTGAGGTGGGTGGATCGCCTGAGGTCGGGAGTTCAAGATCACCCTGGGCCACATGGTGAAACCCCATCTCTACTAAAAATATAAAAAATTAGCTGGGCATGGTGGCACACACCCGTAATCCCAGATACTCAGGAGGCTGAAGCACGAGAATCACTTGAACCTGGAAGGTGGAGGTTGCAGTCAGCCTCTACTGCACTCCAGCCTGGGTGACAAGGCAAGACTGTCTCAAAAAAAAAAAAAAAAATTAAAAATAGGTCGGGCACAGTGGCTCATGCCTGTAATCCCAGCACTTTGGGAGGCCAAGGAGTGTGGATCATCTGAGGTCAGCAGTTTGAGACCAGGCTGACCAACATGGAGAAATCTCGTCGCTGCTGAAAATACAAAATTAGCTGGGCATGGTGGTGGGTACCTGTAATCCCAGCTATTTGGGAGGCTGAGGCAAAAGAATCACTTGAACTCGGGAGGTGGAGTTTGTGGTGAGCCGAGATAATGCCATTGCACTCCAGCCTGGGCAGCAAGAGTGAAACGCCATCTCAAAAATAATAATAAAATAAATAAAAAATAAAATGTGCCAAAAATACCCCATGTTTAGGTGTGAAATGGAGTTTGGTTTTTCACTGACATGAATATCTGAAAGTGTCTTGTCTTGCCCCCAGCCCTGCGCTGGGGTTGCCCCAAAAATGGTGGCCTCGGAGTTCCCACAAGGGAGTGCCCAAATCATCCTGAGGGGCCAGCTGGGATTCCAAAGAGAGAAGCAGGAAGCACCAGGGTGATGAGTCCAGGCTTTTGCTCGGGGCGCTCACTTCCACGGGGCTGCGCATATCCTCAGGCGGCCAGGAGAGAAAGGCGGTCCCCCTAGTTGTGTCCACAGCCACGGGGTCAGGGTTTCAGGAATTGGGCTCAAGTCTGGGGCCAGTTTCTTTCAGGGTTTTGGGTAACAACCTAGACATCTTTATCAGCGCCTGGGAATGCTCAAGGCCGTGGTTTCGGTTCAAGCCAGCTGGGAAGCCCTGCCACTGGCTGGGTCACGGAGCAGTCCAGGCACTTGAGGTTTTCAGTCAGGGCAAGAAAGAAGGTGGGAGAAACTGGGGACAATACAGAAGGGACGTTTGAAAATCAGAATACTAGGCTGGGTGCAGTGGCTCACGCCTGTAATCCCAGCACTTTGGGAGGCCAAGATGGGGGTATCCTGAGGTCAGGAGATCGAGACCATCCTGGCCAACATGGTGAAACCCTGTCTCTACTAAAAATACAAAAATTAGCCAGGTGTGGTAGCACATGCCTGTAATCCCAGCTACTTGGGAGGCTGAGGCAGGAGAATCCTTTGAACCTTGAACCTCGGAGGCGGAGGTTGCAATGAGCCAAGATCACGCTGCTGCACTCTAGGCTGGTGACAAAGCCAGATGCTGTCTCAAAAAAAAAAAAAAAAAAATCTGAATACTTAGGACAGTTTTTTTGTCCCCAAGGGTGGCTCTGACATTGCAGGATATTCAGCCATCCCGGCCTCTGGCCCAAATGCGAGCAGTACCTCCCATATCCCTGCAACAACCCAAATCTACCCAATGAGTACTCAAAATGCCATAAGGGGCAGCTCTGCCTGTTGGAGCCCCATGAATCTAACCCCTCTGGAGCCAAGGACATGTTGCATGCCAGGGATCCCTTAGTGGGTGACTGAAGCAGGGCTGGGGTCCGGGGAGGGACCCCCAGTGAGCTCAGCCCAGCCACCTTTGGTGGCGCTGCTGGAAGGGTCCAGGCCCAGAGCTGGGCACTTGCCAGGGAGACCAGACGTGTGTGCTGAACAGTATCTGCATGATCTTGCTTTCAAGAAGCTGGGGAATGTCAGGCCTAGAAGGAGTTGCATGGCCAGGGGGACAGAAGAGGATGTAGCGTTTCCAGACTCCAAAACCTGCTTTCAGCCTTGGGACCTGACCTCCCCAGATGCAGCCTCACCCCTCCAGGGCATGCATGCATCGTGCTCTGCTTTTCCTCAGGCCTTCACATATGCCGTCTCCGCCTGGTGCACTCTCCCCAAGCTGCTGTCTTTGCCTGGTGGACTTCCCTCCGCTTCTCACTTCAGATACTGCCTCCTCCAGGAAGCTCTCTCTGATTGCCTCAGTCTGAGCTGAGTGGCCTTGCAGGCCCTGTGCTCACCTGCTCAAGTATTTACCCCTCTCTATCCCTGTTCGTGGGTGTCTCTCCCCAGTAGAGCTATAGAGGGGGTCTACAGAGGGCTCTAATTCTCTCTTGAATTCCCAGGCCTAACATAGGGCTGGCGACTACGGTCGGTAATATCTGTGGGCTGAGGGAGAAGGCAGACACATACAGTGGAAGGCAGGGTGGTATGGGGAGACAGAGTTTGAGGGCAGGAGGGTGCCAGGATCAAAGGTGGAGGTGCCCGTGGAGGGTTGCAAAGACCAGAATGGTGCAAGCCAGGGCACGGAGGGGAGGGACAAGGGCTGAAGGGAGAGAGGCAGAATTTGTGGTAGGGCCAGGTCTCAGGGACTCTAGGGCAATGGCCCATACCACCAGCCTGAGGAGTGTGCCCTCCGAGTGAGGGCAAAACAAGAAACTCTCACTGAGAAAGTGCACAGCCCCTACAATGCCTATAGTGCTCAGTCCAGAGGCCCCTTAAAGACCACTAGTCTGATCGACCATTGTATAGATGAGGAAAACCGAGGCCCGGAGTCCACTGTGACATTTCTGGGTTCAAAGCCAGTCTTTGCCCCTGCAGGATTTCTCATCCATAGAGGTTCAGGGTTTCTGATGGCAAAATCCTTCCCCACTGCACTCACCCACATTCCAAGTCCTGCTTCCAGCACCTAAAGCAGAAATGTCAGTTTCAGGTCCCCAGGGATCCCATGGGGCTGGGTGGGGACACTTGCCACAGCTCGGCTCAGCGAGCAGGGGAGACTGCAAGAACAGGTAAAACAGGCGTGTGAACTCGATCTGAACTGTTGCCTACTAACTGAAATTGTGTTTAAAAACCAGACATGACGCCTTCAAGACTGTGCAAGTCGAGTGGATCCTTCAGGGGACACACTCAAATGCCAGCTGTCTGGGAGGCCCAGTTTTGGGCCTGACTTCCTCATTATTCTGGAAATCCCCCCGAGGGGTGTCCTTGCAGCCCTTTAGTCACCGCCACCAACCGGACCACCCCCAGGGATGTCTTCCAAAAGGAGGCCCAAATTGGGAGGGCTTTGAGGGGCTGGAGGACGGTAGGGAGGGAGGTGGGGGGCAGAGGGCAGAGGGGAAGCTGGGGCTTAGAAGCCAACCTGCACAAGATTGAAAAAAAAAAAAGAGAGAGAAGCAAAGCTGCTTCTTTCTAATTTGGTCATTTATGCCATTCATACGAAATTCCTGAGCTTGTTCACTTCCTTCATTTTATTTTTTATAACTTTTTTCTTTTATTTTATAATTTTTTTTTTTAAGGACAGTGGTGGGTAGCCTCCATGGTTCACGCCTGTAATCCCAGCACTTTGGGAGGCCAAAGTGGGCAGATCATGAGGTCAGGAGATTGAGACCATCCTGGCTAACACGGTGAGACCTCATCTCTACTAAAAATATAAAAAATTAGCCGGGCGTGGTGGCAAGCACCTGTAGTCCCAGTTACCCGGGAGGCCGAGGCAGGAGAATTGCTTGAACCTGGGAGGTGGGGGTTGCAGTGAGCTGGGGTCACGCCACTGCACTCCAGCCTGGGCGACAGAGCAAGACCCTGTCACACACACACACACACACAAAAAAAGATAAAAGACAGGGTCTTGCTCTGTCGCCCAGGCTGGAGTGCAGTGGCATGATCTCTGCTCACTGCAACCTCTGCCTCCTGGGCTCAAATGATCCTCCTGCCTCAGCCTCCAGGTAGCTGGGACTACAGGTGCCACCACACTGGGCTCACCTCCTTCATTTTACAGCTAAGGAAATGGAAGTCCAATGAAGGGACGACTTGCTCAGAGAACCAGCAGGTGGTGGCAGAGCTGGCCTAGGGTGGGGGCAGAGGGGCAGGGGTAGAATCTGGGTCTCCAGGCTGTTTCCCCAGTCAGGAAGAAGGCGATGGTGAGTGTGCCCCGCGCTGGCTTCAGCATCACACACCTTATCCCCATTTTACAGGGAGAGGGAGGAACTCTTACAAGGTTCCACAGGAGAGACAGAGTTGAAGATCAATCAATAAACAACGGGGAAAGGTGTGAAGTAACGACTGAGCCCTTCCACAGATTGTCTCCCTAGTTCGACTGCCACCCGCACCCCAAGGGGCCCACTGGACGCTGCCCGCGCATGCCCCATCCCGTTCGTGCCCCCGCGTGGCCGCCTGCAGTCTCGCGGATGCGCCAGGTCACGAGTGCGCCACCGCGCGCCCCGCGCTGCGTCCCCGCAGACCTGCGCGCCTCTGCTCTGCCCGGCTGTGCGCCTCCAACCCCGCGCTTCCGCCTTTTTCCACAGGAATCCGAAATCAGATTCAGCTGTGAAGCGCGGTTTCGGATCCTCTTTCGCTTCTCTATCTCGAGAAACTTGAAACTGTGTCCTCTACGGTTGCATCAGAGGGCATCTTGAGAGTGGAGGAGGGCTGCTGAGCCCGCCGCAGGGTTCCGCCGGGCCGGGAGGTCTTGCTCAACCTGAACGTTGCGGGGAGATGGGTGTTCGCGGAGGGAATGGGCCCTGGCGGCCCTAGAGCCATCCCCGAGCGCCTCCCACCGCCAGCGGACTTGCTGTTAAAAATGCAATCGACGCGTCCCGTGAGTCAGAATGAGGGTGACTACTTATGGAAGAGGAAGGAGAGACGGGGAAGGGGCGCGAGGAGACTTCTGAGCTGGCTGGCCAAGTTCTTTTTCTTGGTCTCGGAGACAGTTCACTTTGTAGTAGTTAGTTCAGCCATACGTCAAGTCCATGGGATTCTGTATCCGTGATTTATTTTACAATAAAAATATGTTTAAAATAATCAGTTACAGTTGTAAAACTGAAATTCTTCCCATTCGAATTTTCTTTCTTTTTCCTTCCTTCTTCCTTCCTTCTTTCCTTTCTTCCTTGCTTCCTCCTTCCTTCCTTCCTTCCTTCCTTCCTTCTCCTCCTCCTCTTCTTTCGTTTTGTTTTTTGTTTATTGTTTTTAAGACAAGAGTTTTGCTCTGTTGCCCAGGCTGGAACACAGTGGCACGATCTGGCTCACTGCAGCCTTGACCCCTGGGTTCAACCGGTCCTCCCTCCTCAGTTTCCCAAGTAGCTAGGACCATAGGTGTGTGCCGCCACACCTGGCTAATATTTTTTATTATTTATGTAGAGACAGGGTCTCACCATATTGCCCAGGCTGGTCCTGAACTCCTGGGCTCAAACCATCCTCCCACCTCGGCCTCCTAAATGGTTGAGATTACATGTGTGAGCCACTGTGCCCAACTGAGCAGCTTTTTAAAGTCAGGCATTGAGTCAGTATCTCTAGGGACTGAGAGAGGTGTACATTTTTTAAGTTCCTCCAGTTTTTCAAAAGGGCAGGCAGGATTGAGAAACACTGGCCTACCATGGGGGGATTCCATATTAAGATTTTGAAAGCCACGGGCCTTGAAGGAGGAAGTAGAGGCTCCCAGAAGCCCAAGTGGATGCCCTACCTGAGCCCTCCCAGCAGGTGAGGTGCAAAGCTGGCCTGGAGCAGGAACTCCCACTGCCTACTCCAGAGCTCTGCCCTCAGACTACTCTGAATGTGCCTCTTTCATGCACATTCTCTGTTGTCTTTGGATTGGAGATCATGGGGTGTATATGTCTCTCTCTCTCTCTCTCTCTCTGTGTGTGTGTGTGTGTGTGTGTGTGTGTGTGTGTGTGTGTGTATATATATATACTTTTGTTAAAGAATAATTTTTAAGCCAGACATGGTAGCTCACACCTGTAAACCCAGCACTTTGGGAGGCTAAGGCAGGCAGATTACCTGATGTCAGGAGTTCGAGACCAGCCTAGCCAACATGGTGAAACCCCATCTCTACTAAAAATACAAATATTAGCCAGGCGTGGTGGCACATTCCTGTAATCCAGCTATTTGAGAGGCAGGTAGAGGTCGCAGTGAGTTGAGATTGTGCCACTGAACTCCAGCCTGGGCAACAGAGTGAGACTCTGCCTCAAAAAAAAAAAAAAAAAAATTAAGATTTGTATTACTGTTGCAATTATTAAGGCAATGCAGCTCTAATAAATAATCACCCAAAGATGTACACAGATAGGCAATTCAGAAATTCAAATAGCTTGTAAGCATGGAAAAGGAGTCTCACCAAGTTTTGAAGAGACACAAATTAAACCAACAATGAAACATTTTCTCACCTATACCATTGGCAAAGATAAAATGCTAATGCTGCAAAAATGTGGGGAAATGAGTACTGCCTTCAAATTCATACCTGTGCAATCTTTTAAAAGGAATTTATTACTGCGGAGCAAAAGCATTAAGCATGCATCCTGTTTGCCCCAGCAATTACGCCTCCAGGAAAAACACATGTGCCAAGGTATATGTTCACTGCAGAGTCATATGTCATGATTAAAGTAACTGGAAATAGCACAAAGATCCAGAAATAGGCCGGGCATGGTGGCTCACGCCTGTAATCCCAGCACTTTGGAAGGCCGAGGTGGGTGGATCACCTGAGGTCTGGAGTTCAAAACCACCCTGACCAGCGAGGTGAAACCCTGTCTCTAAAAAAAAAAAAAAAGATCCAGAAATAAGATTTGTTAACCAAAAAAAAAAATAATAATTCTGCATTCTACAGTGGAAGTTGAGCAGCCATCAAAAGAAATGAGGTTACTATCACACTGGCCTTTAAGTTAAAAAGAAAAAAAGGAAAGGAAGGAAGGAAAGAGAGAAAGAAAAAAGAGAGAAAGGAAGGAAGGAAAGAAGGAAGGGAGGAAGGGAGGGAGGAGGCAGCCAGGCACAGTGGCTCCCTGTAATCCCAGCACTTTGGGAGGCCAAGGCAGCTGGATTGCTTGAGCCCAGGAGTTCCAGACCAGCCTGAGCAACATGGTAAAATCTAGTGTCTACAAAAAATACAAAAACTAGCCAGGCCTCATGGCGCACACCTATATTCCCAACTACTTGGGAAGCTGAGGTGTGAGGATCACTTGAGCCCGGGGAGGCCAAGGTTGCAGTAAGCCATGATCATGCCATTGTGCTCCAGAGCCTGGGTGACAGAGTGAGAGCTTACTGAAAAAAAAAAAAAAAAAAAAAAGATTGAGGCTGGCCAGGTGCAATGGCTCATGCCTGTAATTCTAGCACTTTGGAAGCCTGAGGTAGGAGGGTTGCTTGAGGTCAGGAGTTTGAGACCAGCCTGGCCAACGCAGTGAAACCCCATCTCTAAAAAAAGGTTTTTTAAATAAAGAAAAATCTTAAATATAAAGGGGATGAGGCTGATCGATCTATGTGAATTGATGTGGTGAAATGCATATATTATGTTACATGAAAAAATAAGTTCCAATTGCTTCTCGAAAAAAAAAAGTTCCAAAACAGTATTTCTATATACTCACATGTATATTTATGTGTGTGTGCATATGTATTTGTGCATGCATGCATATCCATGTGTGTAGGTATATGTACACAGATATGCGTGTATATATACATACACACACAGGTATTGTATATGTGCATAAGTGCATGTATAGATATGTATGTGTGTATATAGTAGGCATGTGTATATGTATGTATTTGCGTTGTAACCCAGAAAAGGGTCTGAGACAAGTCTCCATCAATTTGGAGGTTTATTTTGACAAGGCTGAGGACATGCCCAAAAAAAGAGGCATAAGCAGTGGGATCTGTGGCTCCACAATTTTTTCAGAGAAGATTTTGAGGGCTTCAGTATTAGAAAGGAAACAGCAGGCAGGAGGGGAAGTCGGGACGGAAAACAAAGGAAAGTAGGCAGTGAGATAAGGGGGCGCATTTCTGGCAGGCTTTGATTAGAGCTCACCAAATCCACGTGTTACCTATGAAGGGAGAGGTGGAGGCACAGGCAAGTACGCCTCCATCTCCTGCTCAGTAAATCTGCATTTGTCTCTGCGTGTCTTTGTCTCATAACTGTGAAGATAAGGTGTTAATATACATGGGAGGCCACCAGGGGAAATGTGACCTTCTATTTTATAGCTATCTGCTTAGGAACAGAAGGAAAGGCAGTTTGGCCAGGCATGGTGGCTCCCAGCACTTTAGGAGTTGAAAAAGGTGGATCACCTGATGTCAGGAGTTTGAAACCAGCCTGACCAACATGGTGAAAACCCGTCTCTACTAAAAATACAAGAATTAGCTGAGTGTGGAGGTGGGCGCCTGTAGTCCCAGCTACTCGGGAGGGAGGCTGAGGCAGGAAAATCACCTGAACCCAGGAGGCAGAGGTTGCAGTGAGCCAAGATCGCACCGCTACACTCCAGCCTGGGCAACAGAGTGAGACTCTGTCTTGAAAAGAAAAAAAAAAAAGAAAAGAAAAGGCAGTTTTTGGTGTGACTCAGTTTCTAAGCTTAACTTTTCCCTTTGGCTTCGTGAGTTTGGGGTACCGAGATTCTATTTTCCTTTCAGACTGTGTATGTGTTTGTGTGGGTGTCTATGTGCGTATGTGTATATAGGTACAGAAATGTGACCACTTACCTCACTGCCTGTGTATGTGTGTGCATGAGTAAGATGATGTTCACTATTCACTGCTTATCTCTGGGCAGTGGAGTTGTAGGGGTTCTTTCACTTTTTTGCTGTCATACACATCTATATACAAGATTCTTACTGAAGACTCAGGGAGTCTTTATTTGTGTTGTTTTTACCAGCAGAATGTATTGTTTCTCTTTTTTCTTTTTCTTTTTCTTTTTTTTTTTGAGATGAAGTCGTTCTGTTGCCAGGCTGGAGTGCAGTGGCTCGATCTTGGCTCACTGCAACCTCCAACTCCCTGGTTCAAGTGATTCTCCTGCCTCAGCCTCCCGAGTAGCTGGGATTACAGGTACACACCACCACACCCAGCTAATTTTTGTATTTTTAGTGGAGATGGGGTTTCACCATGTTGGCCAGGCTGGTTTTGAACACCTGCCTCATCCTCCCAAAGTGCTGGGATTACAGGCATAAGCCACTACACTCAGCTGTTTTGATTTTTGAGACAGGGTCGGTCTTGCTGTATTGCCCAGGCTATAGTGCAGTGGCATGATCTCGGCTCACTGCAACCTCTTCCTCCCAAGTTCAAGTGATTCTTGGGCTTCAGCCTCCTCAGTAGCTGGGACAGGTGCATGCCCCCACATCTGACTAATTTTTGTATTTTTTAGTAGAGATGAGGTTTCGCCATATTGGTCAGGCTGGTCCCAAACTCCTGACCTCAAGTGATCCTCCCACCTCGGCCTCCCAAAGTGCCACCATGCCCGGCTGTACTGATTACTGATTTTATAATCGGAAAAAAACGATAAAATATTTTTTATTTTTAAAGAAAAAAAAAACACAAGTAATACATATTTATTAATGAAAATGCCAACAAGAAGAATAAAAAACCCAAGCTCTCCCCTGTTTCATCCCACAAAAGCCACAGCAGTACCATTTTGGCCCATTTGCTTCCGATCTTTCTCCTATGCCTTTTTAAAATAGCAGTTGTTATTCAGCATAAATAATTTCACATCCTGTTTTTCTACGCCTGACATTTTGATGTAAGTATTTTTCTCCGTCATGAAAAAGCCCTCACAAATACCCCTCTGGTCGGCTGTATAACATGTTATGACCGTTTCAATTTTCTTAACAGCTTTCTTATTGTCAGACATTTGGCTCGTCTCCAGTCTTTTGCCATCGGACTAATGCCCTGATCAGCATCTCTGTATAAATGCTTTCCTGGCCATAGGACTTAGGACCCATTCCCAGCAGTTAAATTACTGGACTAAAGGAAAAGAACGCATTTAAGTCCCTGACTCCTCATTGCCAGATTGCTTTCTGCACAAGGAGCCATGGTGCCCCTTGAAAGATAATTTTTATTTCGTTTT